CTAGACATCTCAAGAGGAATTCGTTCAAATGATCCGACTATTTCATGCGCGGTGTGACTCGATACGTTTTTAAGGTTTCATGATTGGTTATTGAACCCGGCGGTTGTGTGCCATTCCGAATTGAGAATTTCAATTCCATTCCTGACGGGACGCAGAGTTGCAATATGATTTTGAATATAAGCAGTGTTAGGGAAAGTTACTTTTAAAAGTAATGAGTTACAATATTGTGTTACTAAGTAACTAATTGCATTACTTTGTTACTTTTTATGGAAAATAATGTGTTATGTTACTTTTGTGTTACTTTTTCTCATCTGGGCTCGGCTTGCTTGTTTGTTTTTAAATAACAACAAATAAAATCCTATTTTTGGCAAATGTAAATGCCCTTTCACACCAAAAGTGAAATGATTAAGCCTCAGGGTGAAGTGAATGCAAATTCACGCCTGTATAACTTTTCAGCTGTGCTGGATTGCAGAAGAATAGGACGCAAGAGAAGAAAGTTCAACACTCTTACTTAAGCAATAAAAACGAAAAAAGGAAACAAATATGATGTTTAACTAAAGTCATTTTTGCTTATGTGGTTGAATTAGATCATTGAAGATCAGCAGCAAAGACATTGGTTAAAGGGGTCATATAATGCCATTTTTGTACAAGCTAGTATGATTCTTTAGGGTCTAAATTAAAAGTTTGTAATATACTTTAATTAAAAATTCCCATTAGTATTGTAAGAAAACACTTATTTTACTTGGTCAAAAACAGCTCTGTTTTCAGCACGCCGTTTCAGTGCATAATGACTTTAAATGATAATGAGCTTTGCTCACCCCGCCTCTCTGTTCTGTGTGTACACCGTTTGTAACATAATAACACAATAACCATAACGCGTTGTTCAGTATAAACGTGGGATTATGAATTATATTGAGAACATCATACATAGAAAACATGCCGTAATGTACCCTAAGTGTAAACCTTAGAAGCATTCATTGTGAAGCGTGCAGCTAGCGATTTGCAAAGATTAATATAAATATTAATATAAAGTTTAATAAAACGTTACACTCACTTCAGTTCTTCTGGAGGTTCAGCAGGAACACGAATAGCTGGTACTGATCCTTTTTTCATGAGCAGCTTCTTAGCAAAACCAGCTTTATACTGATCCTCGTTTATAAAGCAGTCTGGTGAGAAATGATTCGCGCAAACATGAAAGCATTGACGTTGCTCGTGGGGAATATTCCCTTCGAAAACAAACTCAGCCACTGCGTCTTCAGCGGTTCGGATTTAGGAACATTAAAATGACTCCTGTGTTCGTTATTACACCCAAGAACAGAACACCACAATCGCTTAGACGCCATTCTGCTCATAGACAGTGCTCCAGCATATCAACAATGACCGCGCCGGTCCGCGCAGACTATGATTGACAGCTGGCTCACGAGCGAGGGAGGGTCTGTGTTGAAACGATGCTGTCAATCAACAATCGTGGGAGGGGCTTCCGAGCGTGTGACGTCACAAAATCGAACGGCTCAATTTGAGGCAGGGGAAAACATATAAGGAGATTAAAACAAAAATACTGGATGGATTTTTATCATTTTATGATGGTTGTGTACAGGCACTGCCAACACACATTTCAGTACAATCAACTTGTAAAAGTCCGTGTACCATTATATGACCCCTTTAATAAAGTGAGATGAAATACATAAAGTATATTGTATTATCTAACCTATTTAATTATTGCAAGTTTAAGTAATAGCTTGCATTTCACTGTTTTTATTCATTTTGAGGAATTGTGAATCGTTTTTTTGCTATGTTCACACAGAGCACACAACGCCTCTGCACTTACTCACGATTTCTCTCAATCAAGACAGCAACGTAGTGTCGGCCCAGATCCGGCCCACTTCTGGGCCGTGTGGAATCCACATGTAACCAGATGTGGGCCAGATCTGGGCCGACACTATGATGCTGTCTGGGAAAGTAACTTGCGTTACACGTTTTAAAAAGTAATCAGATCAAGTAACTCACGTTACCCCCAAAACTAAATATAAGGAAGAATCACAATGAATTAAACTGAAATTCAAAGAACTGTATATGTCATTTTTAACTAGAAGAGCAAAGAAGAGCAGCTGTGCCTCTGGTGACCCGAGTTTGATTCTCAGCTTGAGGTCCTTTGCCGATCAAGTTCTCCTCTCTCCACCCATGCTTTCCTATCTGACCTCTAACTGTCCTATCCAATAAAACCATAATGAGGTCAAAATATAACTTAAAAAAAGGCCTTATGGACTGAGAGAATGATACATTTTCCCATGAATGCATTGCATTTCTTTGAAATACACTGTAAAAAATTATCGTGATTTTAACGGTAAAAGACTGTAAAAATGCTACAGTGAAAAACTGTTAATTGGTTAACAGAAAGTTTCCTTACTATATACGGTAAATAACTGTGATAGATCTAACGGTACATTTAATGTAATTTTACTGTAAAATACCGTTAAACAGTTTTTGAACGTGAAAAAGAACAACTCATTGTATAATTTACAGTGAAATACCGTAAATTGACATTCCCACAATTCCCTGCGTGACACTTCAAATTTGATGTATTTTTGTTGAAATAACTATGTTTCTTCTTAGTTTTCTTATCAGTTATGTACATTAGGGTTTTATGTTACATTTAATGTTGTTAAAAGAATGTTTATTGCATTTTTAAAATTTCATGTGTTACCATGATGCTGTTTAGTGTTTGTGCGAATGACACTGTGCAGTTTCTATATTACAGTACTAACTTTCTAGTGGAAGAGCTGGTTGTGATGAGCTTTGATTTTTCATGTGATTTTCATCACTGCGGTGATTGTTGTTTGTCAGTGTATTACAATGGTACAAAACAGATATGAATACATAAATAGGATGGTAAATTAACATTATATCAGATAATGAAATACGGTTTATTACTGTAAATTTTAAGTTAACTCTGTAAAACCAATAACGTCTGTACCATATTTTTGACGGTAAAGTTCTGCCAACCACAGCTGCCGGTATTTTACCCTAAAAATGGCATTTTATTTTTTACAGTGTACTATTCAGCAAATTCCTGTCATAAAATTTCAAATTCCAATTCAGTTTCTTGTGGGTTCAAATTGACACTTATGGATTTTTCCCAAACCTGAGCACCACACACATTTTCTTCAGGACACAGTTCATCAATAGTTATTTCTTCAGTCTGGTTAAACGTCTTCTGCACAGTTATATAATAAGTGACTCTTTCTGCAGCACATTCATGTTCTTTAGAACACAAATGTTGAGACTGCTTTGGTGGTTCTGTCAAAGCACTGTGGAGATGAAGAACTGAAGGCAGGGCAAAGCTGGACATACAATGGCTCTTCTTCTAGCTGAAAATTAAAGGATTTCTCCTTTTAACGCATTGTTCTTTTCTTCCGCTCTCTCCAAAGGACCTTCTTTTCCTTTCTGCTAAATAAGCTTCTCTTTGAGAGATAACCGAGAGCACTCATGCAGTTCCAAGATGCGTTCCGAGATGTTTTCAGGAGAATAAAAGGAGGCTAAACACAGAGCCGGTTTTAAGAGTCATTTGTTCCTTTAATTACCCCGGAGCATATTGTTCTGGTGTGGTCCTGACTCATGACAGACACCTCCTAGTTCTCAGGGTATGATCGCTCCAATTACAAAAGGATCTTATCACTTCCTGTTGATGAAAACATGGTTTGATTTCTTGTTCATTTGTGTATGCAATAATGAAATACAATGAAAACACATTGACTATAGTGTCAATGTTTATTGCGCTTAAGTGGGAAAAGAGATTGCAGGGCTATGTTTGTAGATAGTTTATGGAATACATGTACAATAAACATTTTTAACAGTTAGTATTCTACATTGTAACATGACCTCATCACATGGCATCCAGTTATTATTTAATATTCTTTTTTAAGCTGTTATGCTTTATTGCTGCCAATTGTAATTTGGGCTTGAGTAGTTTATATTACAAGGATGTGAGGTGGATAAATTGTCTGCAAATAGTACATCCATGGTTACAAGAAGATTATGAAGATTTAAGCGTATACAAAGAGACATCATTAAGAGAAACGACGACAGTGTCGAATTTCCACGCTTGACTTAATAATAAGCACTTCCCTTCTCTAGATACACTCTAATATTGAAAGCCATTCAATAAAATGCATCATAATCACATAGTGATGGAAAAACGCATATGACCTGCAGTTATGGACACAATGTTAACTGAACTTCAAAGGGTGTCTTTTAATGACACAGTATCTGTGATGAAATAGCATCCTATTGGTTAAGCACTGAGTTGCCAAAACAAAGATGACAACTGAGTATTTTATTTATTCATTCATTTAGCCTTGGAGAGCTAATTTATATATTTGTATATTAAATATGTAAAAAAAAAATAATAAAGTACACACTGTAAAAAAAAAATATTTTCATGATTTGCTATCACAACATTTTTTCTTTTGTCAAATCAACTTAGATAATTTATGTGATTCAGATTACATAATATATTGAGTTTCTGTTGATTAAACCAATCTCCTTCATTGTACCATATTGTAACTCAATATTTTAAATTTCAACCAGGTTAGGCCTATTACTCTTTTAAGTTAATCCAACAATGTTTTTTTTAATGTGTAAACATTTTACAACAGTGTAGGTTTGATTTTGTATAACATCTTTGCTCACTACATAGTTTCTACAATTTATATTATTTCAGTTTTGATGACTAATACTATTCTAACAACTGTTAATAATAATAATGCTATTTAACATTTTGAATAAACATTGAACTAATTATCTGTTAAAGATTTAATAATGTAATATTGTCATCGGAGTGCTACCACCAGTGGAAGTAAACTGCCCCACACACAGTGCTGCTAGATTTCACAGGAAACACACGCAGTGACGTCATTTATCTAAGGACGAAGTGACACGCCCACTTCATTCAAAACTCAGCGCAGGCGGTACAAATCTGAGTAGTGTGTGGTGCGCTTCAGAGACTCACCGTGCGTCCATGGATAACAACTACAACTATTGCCACTTGTTTGAAGAGATAAATAGCCTTATCTGATGGCATTTTTGTAAGTCAATGATATTTGACAAATAGTAAAACTTATTTCTAGGCGGAGACACAGATTTTGGTGCCATGTTACAAAAGGTAACATAGCCAGGTCTGACTGAACTGTGCGTGAAAGGAACTTTGGGCTGCTTTCCGCTGGACTGAATTGAAAAAGGACCACCAGAGGAAACTGTTTCAGAAATGGCAAAGCCTATGGACCACGTTAAGCGTCCTATGAACGCTTTTATGGTGTGGTCGAGGGCTCAGAGACGCAAAATGGCACTGGACAACCCGAAGATGCACAACTCTGAGATCAGCAAACGCCTCGGAGGCGAATGGAAGCTCTTGTCAGACTCTGAAAAAAGACCTTTTATCGACGAGGCCAAACGCCTGAGAGCCGTTCACATGAAAGAACACCCGGATTACAAATACAGACCGCGGCGAAAGCCCAAAACCTTGGTCAAAAAAGATAGGTATCATTTTAATGTGACGTATAATCTGGGTGACAGTGACCCGTTGAAAAGTGCGCGGTTACCCGGTGACGCGCTCGCGGACTCGCTGAGCGCGGAAAAAACATCCGTCGCTGCCGCTACTCGGGTGTTTTTCAGTCACCACCACCTGTCCGCCAACCCCTATCAGTTTCTTGACCTGAATTCCAAAATTACGGAATTACCCCCTGCTCCTTTCCCACATTACTCTTTGCTCGGGTATCCCGGTGGAGTCTCCGCGTTCCCCGGTATGGGGGTTCTGGCCGGTGCGCCACACGCTCACCCGTCTCCGGGGAACCCGGGCCACATGGTGCCCTATAACTGCCTGGGCTGGCCGGGTTCTGGACCTGCTGTTCCTTCTTCTTACGTGCTTTTACCAGGAATGACCAAAGCTCAGCACGAACATTACCTGACATACGCCGCGACGATATGATTGGATGTTCTTGTGGTATATGGTCACGTGCACTTGTTTAAAGTTTTGCATCTGTAAAAAGAAATAAATTTGTAAAATATTATTTGTGCAAAAGGAGTTCGCTTTTAATCTTTTTGTTCGGAAACACTTTATTTTACAGTGACCTTGTTACATGTTACATGCAATAACAGTAAATAATGCATAACAACATGCAACTAAACCAAACTCTATCTCTAGCCTATTTCTATAGTAAGGCTATGTTTTTAATTAATATCACTCAGTACTTAAATGTATAGTTACACTGTGACAAGGACACCTTAAAATAAAGTGTAACTTTTTTTTTTGTATTTTATGAAATTTACGTTTTAAAAAATCTGCAGCTGATATGGTTGCCAGAACTTTGCTAAAGTAAAAAAAAAAGAAAAGAAAGATGTTACAAGCATTATGGGCATGTTGGTGGCTATATTTTACAGTTAACTGTATGTGTCATTAAAAACATAATGTTGATACAACAGCCAAATATAGAGCTATTACAATCTGTTACTGTAACATGTGCTGATAATAACAAAGACCAAAGTTTTACACACACAAACACACTACATGATTAAATAATGGTATCAACATTAACTAATCGATTTAAAACACTCAAATACCTACATAACTAATAACAATAATTACAAATAAATGTTAAATACTTACAATAAATGGTTCACAGAATGAATCTTGGGAATACCTACTGGCATAAATTGTGAGACCATTCATACTTTAAACTTTCATACATTATTTTTTTATTTTTATTTTTTACTATATTGTAGTTTGGCAGTAGGCTATGCATATATGCGTGTAGATTTCTTCATATATTTAATTTTGCAATATATTGTCTTGTAAAATGTTATTTTATCTCATGTATGATTTAGTAACGTAGTTAACCAATTAAACGTTTTTTAGTGTAGCATTTACATTCTTCTGTTAAAATGACTTTGTGAGAAATGACAAAACAGTGGAGAACATTTACACAAGGAATCATCTTCCGATCACATTCTAATATCTGTTTGTCATCGTCAAAATAATGTTGTTTCTAAAAAAAAGAAAAACCTTGTTTGAAGACTATAGACCTGATAATTCTGCAATATAATGAGAAAAACAGATGACAAGTGACAGAATGGCAAACGAACGGGGAAACAATCTGTTGAGAGGAAAGCCATCAAATGCAGAGTCAGTGATCATGTAACAGCAACTAGCTTATAAAATCAGCTGGTTCTAAAGCCTAAACAGATGAAAGAAAGAACAGTCTCTGAGCAGTGATGACGAGAAACAAGAGTCTCCAGGAAGCTCTTAAGAGGGAAGTGAAGGAAACGGACAGAAAATACATAACAAAGGATCTCAGACACAACTAGCTCCTCTTTTCACCAGCTCATGTGATCAGTTAACTTGCACTTCTCATCCTTTTGTTGGCTAAACTCAAGACAAAGAAGAAAGGAATGAGTGATGAATAAATTAAACTGAATTATTACAGAATTTTTCAGAACAATGAATCATTTAATAAGCACATACCATCAGTGACAGAGTACAGTAATAAATACCTTTATGCAACCTGATATTATTGACTTCTTTAGGGTCAAGCAATACAAATGAAACATGTTTTGCATGTCAGTCAACTCAAAGCACCCTATAAAACCTGTGGTATAGCCTATTGTCTATAATCAGCCATGAAAACTGGTTACAAAGATCATGAGTAATTATCTGCAGCTTGTGTTTTATACATGTAAGATAAGAAATCATTAATAGCAGAACGATTACGCTGCGGCTGTTCTATTATGTTTAGGTAGAGTGGGGGAAAATGCCCCCCTGGGGTAAAACGCCCCCCACCCGTTTTTCCCAAAATAACCACTAGAATGAATCAAGATACATTTTTACTATTGCTATGCACTACGTTGACAACGGGGATATACAAATCTCCATGGAGAAGCTGACACCAGCGACGTATTTGAAGAGAAGAGGATTACATGGAAAGTGCTATAACTTTCAGATATTAATAAACAAGTTTTTAATAGAATATTGTTCACAGTGATATCACATTGATGTATGATAGATGAATAGTGATGTCTGTAGTTTGAGAGCATATGTTATTTATAAGGAATATAATTATATATTTTTAAAATAAACAATTTTTTAAAAAGACATAGCTTGTGGGGTAAAACGCCCCCTATGCTGAGGGGTAAAACGCCCCCCCAAGGGGCATAGTTTCTCTTTATCATAATTACTACAGTAACATATTTCTGTTCATCAAAGTCTTTATTTTACACTTTAATGCAGTATAACTAGGTGTTAAAATCAAAATATTTGAACAAAACATGAAAAAATTACCTCAAGTGAGCATTAGCTAGCTTGGTGAATGCAATGATGGAAGGTGGTTAGGTGACCCAATGATAAAACACAGTGACCTTTAATGCATTTATGGAATATATTTCACTATAAATATACTAATTTATGTTTAATATTTATTTAGGGTTTTCTGTTTTTCTTGATGATAGTGGTGAACAAATACTACATCAATTATCAACCCCATATAGGCCTAGTGTAGAAATCAAAATATTAAAATGTTAGAAATTTGGCTATTTTGTACATTGCTGAAATAAATATTAATAGGTATATATATATACATGTTGTTGCATTACTTGCCTTTTACTTTTAGAGATTAAAAACTATGTTCATTTTGCTGTTGATCTATGAAGCAAACTGGTTGGTAAGAAAGGGGGCATTTTACCCCACCTTGGGGGGCGTTTTACCCCACCGCTGGGGCAAAACGCCCCCTTTGTACAAAAATATTTTCAGTAAAAAAAAAAAATTATTATGAAGGTTGAGCAATTTTAATATTTGGTAAATAACTCCTGCCATAGACACTCAAAACTGGGATGGCAATTCTAGTCACATTTATGTTTTGTTTCACAATAATGTCACATTTTCCTTAAGGGGGGCGTTTTCCCCCACTCTACCCCTACAAAATATTATCATAGGACCAAAATACTAGGGTGAAACAGGTTGATTGGGACACTTTTTCCCAGTCATCTCAATGGCAAAAAGTGTCCCAATCAACCTGAATTCACCCCTGCAACAAAATTACAACTGTCATCGTGCAACACTTAACTTAAAAGAAAACACCCCCATTACAAATTTTAAAGAAAACCTTTTTCTGCTAAAAACATCTCTCGAATAAGACAAAATGTTAATAGGCTATACTGAATTAGAGAATTTCCAACCTAATTTAAGTTTGTTGTGCTAAAGCTCATCTTTTTATTTCCGAATAAGAACACCCGCATATTTAAAGCCATAGCTCCCTCTGCTGCTAACAACTGGTATCTCTCTCACACACACACGACACACGCACACACACACACACACACACACACACACACACACACACACACACACACACACACACACACACACACACACAATAAATTAAATAATTGTATTGTATTAGCCTAAGTACCATACAATTACCTCAAAATACAAACTATTAAATACAAATATTATTGAACAATAATAGGCCTAATATGACATTGATTTTGCCGGAAAAAAAATATTATTGGACAATAATAGGCCTATATGATATTGATTTTGCCGGGGGGGAAAATACATTTGGAATCGTTTGACTTTTTATCTAGTGTCAGAACGACATCAACTGTTATTTCTGTGATTTGAAAGCAAAGATACGCGCGCACTGCTGGAAATATGTGGCAGTGCAGTCGCATTTATTTGGTGGTTGCTAGGAAACGGTCAACAGAAACGTTTCACAGGCGGACATCACAGGGTAAGACGATGGGAAATAATGATAGTAGCGCTAAAATATAATTATTTTTACCAACCACAATTGTAAATATTAGAAATGGACACGTTTTGTGTATCTTTTTCAATTTCTACTGCTTACTGCACGGAAAAAGTTTAACGAAGCTCTGCATGGCTATCTATCTATCTATCTATCTATCTATCTATCTATCTATCTATCTATCTATCTATCTATCTATCTATCTATCTATCTATCTATCTATCTATCTATCTATCTATCTATCTATCTATCTATCTATCTGTCTATCTATCTATCTATCTATCTATCTATCTATCTATCTGTCTGTCTGTCTGTCTGTCTATCTCTGTCTATCTATCTATCTATCTATCTATCTATCTATCTATCTATCTATCTATCTATCTATCTATCTATCTATCTATCTATCTATCTATCTATCTATCTGTCTGTCTCTCTGTCTGTCTGTCTGTATGTATGTATGTATGTATTGACAAGCCAGTTCTGATTTTGTGTAAGTTATAGCTGCTAATAAATTACATCTTCTCTTTTGAGGACTTTTGAATCTGTGATCCACAGTCAGCAAACATGTCTAAAAAAGCAGGGAAGAAAGGAGGTGGAAAACATGCCGGGATGACTGAGGAGGAGAGACTTCTGTACATGCAGCAAAAGGCTCAAGCTGAGGAGGATATTGCCAAGAGAAAAGAGGACATGCTCACCCACTTCCTCAAGGTGTGACAAGCAGCTGACATATTATATATGAGCTGGAGTCAATATTTTAGATTTAGAAATCGTTGAGTCGTGTCTTTTACAGTTTTTCTCAGTCGCTTTGGTGCATTTCTCACATCACTATTTACATTTGCACAACAGTTAGTTCAACCTCCACAACATTTAGTCATTTGTGCACATCATAGTAGCAGTTTCTCATTCCTTCCAACAAATTGCAAATGCTTTTGGACATGCATCAATTGCTTTCATACAACTCTCTGCTGTTTTATAACATTATCATTTGCTTATGTCGTGTTAGTCAAAATTAACTATACTTGTGAATGCTGAATAGTCATTCCATATAAAACAAATAGTCCTCATTTCATTGCTTGAGTCATCACATACAAAAATGTTGAACTAGTTGTCAAAATCTGTCAAGCAAATTAAAAAAAATATATATATATTTTTTCTTTCATGAAAATGTCTCCTAAATTGAACAGTTTCTCTCAGGTGAACTTATGTGGCCAGCAAAGAGGAACATATGGATGTGCATGAATGATTTACAGTACTATGTATGTTGTATGTTCAGTTCATACTGCAATATTGTTTACAGTTGTGCACAGCTCTACCCAAAGGGAGTTTATGTTTGTTGTAAATAAGGGTGTATTTTTTCTTTTGCACAATGCTGTGAACAAATTAGAATAGCAAAGAGCATATGCAGTAAAAATGTGAAACATACATATCCAGTGTCTTGTACTCAGTTACCTCACTAAATACAGTAATGTGTAACTTTACTGTAGTTTTAAAATGGCTGTGCAAAGAGTATATAGTGCTGTCTTGAGCATTTTCAGGTAGTGTCACCAAGATCTGACTTTTTTGCATTGGAAAACATTTACAGAGTAAACTGTCATAATGAAAACATGACAAAGCCATTTGACTATCTTGTTCATAAACAGTGGTGTCAGGACTTTTCATCTTGATGACATTGACACTTTCATTGACATGAATACTTGCTTTTGAGGAATGAGCTATCCATTTTGAGCAAGTGACACGCATTTGCAGGTAATCAACTAGGTTTTGTAGTTTGTACTAATTGTTTTGAGAACTGCATTAACTGTTGTGCAAATGTAAATAGTGATGTGAGAAATGCACCAAAGCGACAGAGAAAAACTGTATTTGTATAGTGCTTTTCAACAATACATCTTTTCAAGGCAGATTGTCATACAGAAAATGTAACATTATGTCAGGCAAATGTTCTGTCGGGCATTTCATATCTGTAGAACCTGTTAGCGGTTCCCATCATGGGATCATTTTATGGATTTAGTTTTAATTCATTAATTTTGATTTTATATATTAGCCTATTTATTTTGATGGAATTTTACAGCATATGTAAACATACTTTATCACTAGAAATTTTTTTTAATAACCTGTTAAACACAAAAGTATGCAATCATTTAAGACATTTCTCCTTACATAGAACCAAAGCGTTCTTGAAAATTGAATCAGGAACACTAGGGTTCTGTATTGAACACCAACTGGACCCTTTTTTAAGTCCTAGAAGTCCAATTTATTCATTTATTTTATTTTTATTTAAAATAATTTAGCCAAAAAGCCTTGGTCATTGCAATAAATAAATTCTTTTGTACGAATTAGTAGATAATATTTAATAAATATAGCTACATGAAAGATTTTAAGTACAATTCACAGGTCTTTGGTTTGTCCTAAAATCTAATTTTGTAAATAAAATGTTATGCATAAAATATGTCTCTATGAATACCCAAGCGCTTTGAGTGCCAAGAAAAGCGCTATATAAATTTAATGAATTATTATTATTATTATCATCAAAAAAGTTTTTATTTTTTTAATTTATTATTATACGTGTCACGGTTTTTGGTGCATTGCATAAAAATCAGAACCTTTTTCTTTTTTCACAACAGTTATTTACTTAGTACAGTTTTTGAATTGCTATAGGACACATTTCTTAATACTTAGGTCACTTTTTCGAAACTCTTCACACAGTTAACCAACTAACCAACTTTCAAGTTGGTCCAACAGTAAATTTCACATTCGAAATGCAAAACACGTCATCCATGTTTCAAATCAAGCCATTCTTCCAGAACACTAGCAAAGGTTTTTACCCAACAAACTCATAGTAGTTTGTTGGGTAAACTCAAACTCAAAATAGTATGTCTTATTCATTTGTGTATTATGTTAGGTTTTGAACAACAGTTTTGATAAACATGCAAATTAAAAGATGTAATCATCGAATGCATTTTGTGTCAAAGCAATGATAAATGATCCAAAGTGTAGCCCACATAGACTGCTTTTGTGCTCACTGCACACTGTGTGAAGAGTTTTGAAAAAGTGAGCTAAGTATTGAGAAATGGGTCCTGGCTATTGTAAAAAAAAAAAAAAAAACTCAGGCAATGGAGTTCTGCACTGGAAATGATTTGTTTTTTAGGATAAACTGCAGAAAGAGGAGAAGAACACCATTCTGAATCTCGACAAGCTGCGGCAGCAGTGGCGTGCTGTTTTAACACAGACCAAGACAGCAGAGCTACGCAATGACATCTCAGTCCTCAGCCAGAGCTTTGAGAGAGTCCTCGACTGCAAAGACAACATCATTAAGGTGACTATATATAATATATATAGACTTGACTCTCAGTTTTAAATTCTATAGCTTTCATTACAGAGTCTGGGAGTAACAAACGTGTGTGTGTGTGTTTTACAGAGTTTGGTGGTTGATCTGTCTGAGAGGGAGCAGCAGTCAGAGCTGGCGCGCAGTTCTCATCTGCAGAACGTGGACTGTCTGTTAGAGCTTCATAGGAGTCGGCTGGCAGAACTAGCGTTCAACTTCAACACCAGTCTCGAAGAACTTAGCTCAGAGTATAATACTGAGAGGTAAACACACAAACAATCACACAAAAGGTAGTGTTTTGTTTTCAAGGGAGTGAATTTGGCCAGTTTCCCAGTTCCTGACCATTTAAATCGGGTCATTCCTTTTAGGATATACCTTTTAACTTTAGAAAATGACAATGCTTTGGTTGTAAGGAAACAAATTCATATAAAATAGACTTTCAGAAATAAACTCAGGTCAAGCTTGGGCACTTAAACTTTTTAATTATATCTTTATTATTTATGCAATGACAAGAAGATAACACTTTTATTGTGATAGTCCGCTTTAAACATTCTACATACTATAAGTATCTTTGCAACTACATGTCAACTAGCAGTCATTAGAGTAGACTGTCTGCTTCACAGATATACATAAATGCCCCATTAGCGGCCATTTCAGTGGGCCACTATACATAAGCCGTCCGCCATATTGGAACGGTCAAAACCAGTCTGTGAATGTTCAACATTCGAGAGCAAGTTGACTGTGCAACCATAGTTAGACGCAGTTAGAGTAACTTTGCAAGTACATGTTAACATATTGTACTAACCCTAAAAGTCTATGAGAGTTATTTGAAATGTAGTGCAAATTAATTAGAGATAGTAGAATGTCTAAAGTGGACTATCATAATAAACTTTAACCACAAGGTTAACAACAGGATTGAACCTAGCTCTAAAAAAAGAAGTAAACTCGAGGGTGTCAGCTTGAAGTTCATTTCAATTTTGTTGTTGAATTTGTATATTTTCTGATTATCTATTGAAATATTGATATTATCATAAGGATTTGTGAAATTTAATACAAGAAACTCCAACTAATACCATAAAACACTGCTAAATTCACAAGAGCATTACTAACAATGATGTTTTCCCACCAAAAGTGATGTCATGAACAGGATTTCACACAAAAAAGGGTATAATATTCTATACAAAAAGATCTATATGGGGACATGAAAATGCACTGCGAAGGATTGAGCCAATGTAGCATCATCTGTATGTTATTTCTTTTAAATTCCAGGGAGCAGATTCTTTCACAGCACCAGCAGGAGAGTGTGGATTTGGAGAATGTAATGTTTTCCATGGAAAAGCACTACGCTGATATTGACAATGAGGCGAGACGTGACTACGAGAGCAATGGCAATCAAATTAAAAAACAGGTACTGATTTTATTATGTTTATATTTATTCATTTGGCAGATGCTGTTATCCAAAATGACTTACAAATGAGGAACATCACCAGCAATCTGTCATAGTGCCATATTCATGGGTTTAGTAAAAACTAGAATTAGTCAACAAGCTAGAGCAAGAAGAAAAAGAGAATATTTTTTAAAATATAATAAGAGTTAGAGTAAATGTCTTGGTTTACAAAATCATAATTATTGCATTAACCTAAAATATGCAGTGCAATTCAAATATAAATAGATCATGGATTACAAAAATACAGATTACACAAATATACAAATGTATGTAGGAGTTTACAAGTGTACACTAATACTACTTATCAAAAGTTTGGAAGAATAAAGATTTTTTTTCTTCAAATGTTTTTGATAGAAGACTTTAATGATCACCAATGGAGCAGAGGTAAGGGAGCACACACTGACCAAGGCGGCCAGACAGAGTTTAGAGTTTTGAAAATGTGACTACAGATTGGACAAAAGGATGTTAGCAGTTGGGGGAAAAAAACATAATATAATAGCATGTTGTTGGTTTTATTTCTGCAGAACAAAGAGGAAAATCAAGCAGTGAAAGAACAGATGAATGGGGTTATGGATCAACTGTGGCGAGACATGCAGGAGGTTTTACACAAATACAAAGAGTCCACCCAAACCAAATTTAAATCATTTGACTCTCTGGATCTCAAGGATAAACAGAGTGCTAAAGAGATTGACGCACATAAAAAGCACATTCAGAAGTTGCAGGTCAGACAAAAATTCATTTTTTTCTGACAACTTTGGACAAGCATTTTTCTTCCAATTGTGATATTTCATCATTTTGATGATTTTATTGCAATTTAAACTGTACAAAACTTTTGCAGGAGAACATCTCAGCTCTGCGCTGTCAGCTGAGCTCTAGTCAAAGCGGAGGAACAGTTCAGCAGCTTCGTTCAGACCGTGACAAGCTCGGCCAGGAAGTTCAACATCTCAGAGTCCGGCTCGGTGCGGACCGAACCACTCGGAGAAAGCAGCTCACTAAACTTACCATTCAAAGCAACAATGCTGCTAAAAAACTACAGGAGACAACAGCTTTGGTACATTTATTACACCCACATTTAATATATACACTCATTTTTTTTTAGTTTTTTTTTTACAATTTTCCAAACAAGTGCTTTATGCCTTCAAGTAATAGTTACATTTTGTTGATCCTGCAACAACGTTTCTGTCCAAAAATATTGCCCTATAACGACTATTCGTACTTCTAAATCTAAACCAAACCCTAACTTCTCAAATCAGAGGGAAATGACAGGTGAATAAGAATGGTGTCCCAGACAGCAACAGTGTCTGCCCAGATCCGGTACTTGTGGGTTTAACTCGAACCAGATTTGGGCCAGGTCTGGGCCGACACTATGTTGCTGTCTGGGGTAGAAACCCCTAACCATTGTTATAAGCCTAGCCCTTGAATCTGATTGGTTGATTAGAATGTTGTTCCAGGATCAACAAGGATGTTAGAACTTGGTGAGATGCAATTTTGGATTGCTTAATACAGTATTTTCACCCTCTGGTCAATAACTTTAATGACCAACATTTAAAATCTATTATATTTAATGTTTTACATGCTTAAAATGAGAATCATGGACATATCAAAAACATCATAATTTCATGCTACATGCAAAACCATATCAGAACACAGAATGCCTTTTAATGATACATTTACATTTTAGCATTTTATGCATTTTAGCATTAATATCTCAGTCAAGCTGAAACAGGAGAAACTGTGTCTCGTATCATTAGTAGACCAGAAATATTTTATTATTTTTCTTGCAACAGGGATGCATTTTGTATATTTATTGGAAGTAGAGATTATGTCATTCTGGAACTAAGTGAATTCATTTTAGCAATACTCTCAACATCCAGTCAGTCACCCATTCTGTCTCTTCCATAGGGGGAAAGGTTGATCCGTCTCTCTGAGTTGTGCAGTAAGATGGAGACGGAGCACGAGAAGGTTCTGCCCTTCTACAAATCATCATTGAGTGAAGAAGAGCTGAGTCAGGAGAAAGCCAATGCCATGAAGTCGGCGAATGAGACACTCCCTCAGGTTTATTAAAATCACACTCCATCACAATCCCACAAACCACTGTAAACTTGCTTTTAAATCTGCCATCATTTTGACATGGAGTGGCCGCTTTTTACAATCCAGTTAATTCCAGATAATAATAAAAAATCTTTATTTTCTCAATGGATATCATGTCTCACTCAGATATATGTCGCTTTGGGGGAAGTAATTTCAGATTTTTCATGCCGTTTCATTACTTTAATTTGATGTGTACTAGCATTTATTTTGCATTATTCTAGTCATCTGTTAAATTCAGTATATCATTTGTGTTGTCTTTTGACTTTTCTCCACAGCTAATACATGACTATTCTCCTCTTGGGAAGTTTTGGCAACGTTACAACAAGGTTCAGCTTGACCGTTTGTGTCTGAAGCGAGAGAAAGTGCTTCTGTTACAGGAGAATGAACGACTGAGGATCTATCTGAAGCAGTACCTGGATGAAGTTTCGGTCTCTGGTGAGAGTTTTCAGCAACAAAAGCTTCTGGTGGTGTCTTCTTCAACTCTACAGACCCCCGCTGCCACTGAGAGACGCGGTCAAAAGCGCTATGTGGTCCAAGAAGCAGCTAATATTGTGCAGAAACAGCTTTAAGGAATAAATGTGAAACGTGTAATGTAAAAGTGTGTTTCTGAAAGCAATTAAAATGTTTTTATCCCTCTGGCATGCAGTCGGTGAATCTGTTTAATGCAATGATCTCAGTATATTTTTTTTAATTAAATTTAGGATTTTAGGACACTTCCTCACGGCATGTGAACGCCGCATGCGTTAATCACAGGTTCGCGTTTAAAGTCTGATCATTTCGACGGAGGTGAATCAATCAAAGTTAACTTTAGCTGGAAGTAACATTATTCAAGAACCGCTATAACGCCAAAACAATCTGTTACCTTAAATGATATGTTTATCTCTGTAAAGCTGCTTTGAAATAATCCATTGTTAAAAGCGCTAAATGAAGATGACTTGACTTGACTTGACTTCCTCAAATCCCACAGCCTTTTCTTACAACTTTATATTAACTTGTCCAATTATGTAAATGTGTTGACCGATGCTGTTTCATTACCTCAAGATGTCGCCAAATCATTGAAGATTGTCCTTTATAGGCTACATCTGGAAAACAGGTTGATGCATTTTAGAATGAAAGGTGAAGTTGAAAATAGACTACATTTTTGAACTATTTGAAGACATTTTGCATCTTGTCATTTAACAAATAAGCTATAACTATAAGCTCTATCACTCATGGATGCATGGCAAACCTCAAACACTGATGCGTGATGTCTTTAATAAAGACATGCTGTATTAATCTAGTACAAAACAGGGCAACAATAACATGAAGCTATGTTTTATGGAACTTGTTAACTAATACATAATATTATTATGGAATCTTCTGGCCAAAGAAACGCATCAAAATACTGAAATGTTTTATTTTGCTCTACAGTAATAAAAATCAAGGCAACATGAATAGTTTTTTAAATGTATTTATTTATCTCAAAATGTCGTCAGTAACTTGTTATTTATCCAACTTGCAAAACTGTTGTAGGCTGTTTTTTTAGTGAGAAACAAATCCTCAACCTCAACATTACCTGTATCATTTATGCATGTCGCAATGCATGCTGGGAACACACACACTCACAGACCTCTTTACACAACAGCAATGTTGTTCAATATAAAATGCTTAGCACAGTCTATCCTTTCCAAACGGTTGAAGACAATGCTTTAAGATCTGCTGACTCTTGAAAATCTCCCAACCTTTTAAAGCTGTTTGACCTTTAACCCTTCCTCTCCACTGCTTGCTGATAATGCTGGACTGGTCACCTGGAGGATAACACTCTTTCAAGAGCGGAGAAAGTCAGAAGAATTACCCTACGTTTTGAGAGGCAGTATGTAGCCTACTTGATTGAATTTTGGCCAGCAGAAAGACCTTTCACCTGCAAGACAAGTATAGTATCACATTATCTCGACATTATCTCGATCATTTTAAAAAGCGACTTGAATTGGATTCAAGGTAAACATTTTTATCAGTCCATGGCATGCATTCCTTGAGAATGATGCATGTACGATTCACTTCTGAGACACACTAATGTAGTTACCTAGGTACCTAGCTAACAAAAATATGAATGTTTTGCTAACATTCCTAAAGTTATGAGAACGTTATTTCTGAAAATTTTCTTGGATATAATAACATTAAGGGAACAATCTGAAACAAGTATTAACATAAAAAAACGTTAGTCAAACGTCTAAATGTTTCAGAAAAAAAAACCTTCCATGAACAATTACTGGTGTAACTTTTTTTGTTCTAACATTATGAGAACGTTATTAAAGCCCACAACTCTGAACGAACGTTCTATTTGCGTGACTGGAAGAACGTTTGTCCATAACTTGGAGAGAACCTTGCCAGAACGTTAGCCAAGTTAGCTGGGTCATAAGGGCAGTGTTATTTGCATCACACATACTAAGGGAATTACACAATGAAAGCAACAGTAGTTAATTTTTAATCAACAAATAAAGACAATACTCACTGATTTGGATATTCACTCCTAATCTATACATAGACTTGCATTAACAACTTTTTAACTCTGAATAGCCATGGCTGTAAGGTTTTGTGTTTAAACAAATGCAACCACACCGCACAACCTAAACCAACTAGTCACAAATGTCTCTTTGTATTTCTGTATCAACTTGATTACATACAGTCCAGTGTCATTATTAATGCCCATCCCTCACATTCTTTGTATTCTAATATAAGTGTAGTGTTTGAAGATGTACTGTGTATAAACTAACATCAGTATGTAGGCTACACACATAAAATATAATTACTCATATTATACAGCATTTACTGTTTATTTATCACATACCACCATTATACAAGGGTGTTATTAATGTTAGAAAAAAATTCTAATATATTTGAATAGAAAACAGTTAATTTAAACGGTAATATTTCACAATATTTACTTTTTTAAATAAATGCAGCCTTGGTGAGCATTCCAGACCTCAAACGTTTGAACGGTAGATTATATTTATATTGAAACAGGTATTGGCTGAATAATATGTGAGGTGTTTGAGGTGAAATGTCTACAGTTTAGGCTAAACATTGTCTGAATGAATTACAAAAAACCCAAATGATCCCTGCTCTCTCCCTTTTTTTTTTAATTACTTGAAAATACTTCTAAAAACTCCTAAGAATAAATACTTCAAGCTTAAATATTTTTGGGCCCACTGAACATCCTAAAACACCTTTTGTCAGTGGCTCTAGATAAAAGTATCTGTTCAATATCTTAAATATAAACGTAAGAGAGTTTTTATGTTTTAATGACTCAAACAAGTCACAACAACAGAATAGAAAGCACCAAACAAAGCATTTTTCTTTATTTAAATAGTTTATTCTTTTTGGCTTTGATCTCACTTCTTCTTGCTTTTCTTGTCTTTGCTCTTCTTCTTGCCGTGAGGTTGCGCGTGTGCTTTGTTGTAGAGGTAGAGACCCACTAAGCCCAGTAAAGTGGGAACCAGCGCCAAACACAAAAGGGGTAAGACGTCGTTAACAAGCTTCTGCCAGGGCGTTTGCTGGGACAGAGAGATCACCTCCACCTCGAACTCAAGTGTGCTGTCCCCTGTGAGGAAAACACACATGTAAGATTATCACATCCACTGTGATTTAACCATCGCTCAACAGCTTTACTCTACTATAAAATATTGACCATTACTTCTGATGATGGTGGATTAGTTTATGGACTTTAAATATTTTTCACACATGTAAATAAGCTGTTGTGTGACACTGAACTATTTGCAGAGTGTTTACACGGTTTCTGAACTCCCTGAAAAACCTCCATTGTAGTCTTGAGGTTTCTTCCGGGAACAGTTCCGTCACAGTATTCCTCATTTAAATAATTCCTGGCCAATGCATACGCAAAATAAAGAGGGCGAGGCCTGGTTGAGTTGTGTTAGTTATGTGTTGTGCAATGTCCAAAAGATCACCATTGATTGACCAATCACAACACACTGGTCCAACTGACCAATCGGAGCACATTGTGCTTTTCAGAAGTAGGGGCTTCATAGAGACAGGAACAGGGCCATACGTTGGGTTTTAAAAAATACCATGGTGAGGTCCCAAAATTAAGTTTGGTAAGGGGGTTCGGGGCGGGGTAATGCCTCAAGAGAAAAATTCAATTTCTCTGATCTACATAAGTGCATATTTAAGGCTTTGTTCACACAAAAATGAAAATTCTGTCATTAATTACTCACCTTCCATGTCGTTCCAAACCCGTAAGGCTTTCGTTCATCTTCGTAACACAAATGAAGAACTTTTTGATGAAATCTAAGAGATTTCTGTCCTTCCATTGACAGCTATGCAACTACCACTTTGACGCTTCAAAAAGTTCATAAAGAGATCGTAAAACTAATCCATATGAATTGAGCGGCTTAGTCCAAATTTACAAAGAGACTCGATCGCTTTATATGATGAAAAGATTGAATTTAGGCTTTTATTCACATATAAACATTGATCAGCAAACATAAACAGAAGCTCAACCGAACCTGCTTGATGCTCGAGAACAAACCTCTTACAGAAGCTCAAACGTGCTGCGTAACACGAGAATGAACCTCATTGGTTCTCGCTGAAGCTCAAACGTGCTGCGTAAGACGAGAATGAACCTCATTGGTTCTCGCTGAAGCTCAAACGTGCTGCGTAAGACGAGAATGAACCTCATTGGTTCTCGCTGAAGCTCAAACGTGCTGCGTAAGACGAGAATGAACCTCATTGGTTCTCGCACGTCAAGCGATCATGCTTGAGCTTCCGTTTACCACAACTGATCTATGAGTTGATGAATTTTTATATGTGAATAAAAGCCTAAATTCAATCTGTTTGTCATATAAAGTGATCGAGTCTATCCAGGAAATTTGGACTAAACCGCTCAATTCATATGAAATAGTTTTACGATCTCTTTATGAACTTTTTGAAGCGTCACAATGGTAGTTGCGTAGCTGTCAATGAAGGGACAGAAATCGCTCAGATTTCATCAAAAAGATCTTCAGTTTTGTTCCCGAAGATGAACGAAAATCTTGCGGGTTTGGAAAGACATGAGGGGGAGTAATTAATGACAGAATTTTCATTTTTGGGTGAACTATCCCTTTAAGACATTAGAAGGCCAAAAACTTTAAACCATGTCAGTGGGCAGTAGCCTGAATTAATTGTCTATACTTGCTCTCCCTCTTTTATCTTCACCTTCTCTCTTTCTTTTGTTCTCAGTCTGCTTATCTTGCCCTGTCTGTTTTCCCTCACCAAAGCTGAGCTCTGATTGAGACATGTTTGTCTCTCAGTCTTTTTTAGACAAGTGAATTTACTTAAGGCTACCACCAGGAAAGCTAACTTTATTAAATGCATTCACAATATGTGCACATTCATTATTAATCTTATGCCTAATAATATGACGAAAACGTCTCGTTGCACTGTCGGTTACGAATTACATTACATAAACAAACGTAAGTCATCTATTTTCAATACAACATGGCGAAATTAGACAAATATTTATTAGTTTATTAGCATCCCTGATTATTTTATGACCGCTAACTGAAGTGAACTAGAAGCCTGCCTACTTTGTTTTGATTGGTCATCTCAAAAATGTTGACATTGACGAGTGGTGTTAGACCGCTCAGATGAAAAGGTCGGTAAT